ATGTATATAAATGTATCGAGGCCAATATATAAAATGTATCTAAACGTATTGAGACCAATATATAAATGTATCTAAATGTATCGAGGCCAATATATAAATGTATCGAAATGTATTGAGGCCAATATATAAATGTAATATATAAATGTATCTAAATGTATTGAGGCCAATATATAAATGTATCTAAATGTATCAAAGCCAATATATAAATGTATCTAAATGTGTCGAGGCCAATATATAAAAGTATCTAAAACACAACAAAATATGACATATTGCAGCTCCCCAGACCTTTGATGTGGTGGCTGCATTTGTTTTCATTTGTCCTTTATTTTCAGCTGGTGATCCTACCCAGTAACACACTTCCTGTCCTAGATTAGGGGTCAGAATGACCCTTCACATCGGGGTCCCTCCATATTCCCCCACTTACACCAGGTTCCCAGTCTGACATCTAAATCCCCCCCCTTACATCAGAGTTTACCCCTTACATCATGATGTCCATAAGAACCCCCTCTTACATCAGGGTCCCCATTACATCAGGGCCCCTGTCAAGAGACACACTTGTACCAGAGTTACCCCTTACATCAGGGTCTTCAGAGTCCCCCCCTTAAATCAGGCCTTCCCTGACATCTGTCCCTGTCAGAATACCGTCCCCATTACATTAGGGTCTCCATAAGAGCCCCCTCTTAAAATGAGAGCCCCCTCTACATCAAGAGTCCCCTTTACACCAGAGTTAACCCTTACACCAGGTTTGCCGTCAATAGTCCCACTTTACATCAGGGTCCCCATCAGAGTCCTCCCTTATATTAGAGTTACCCCCTTACATCAGGGTCTCCATCAGAGTCCCACCCCATTACATTAGGGCCCCCCCTACATCTGGTTACCTGTCAGAGTTAGTACCCCTTACATCAGAGTTACCCCATATATTAGGGTCTTCATAAAGAGCCCACTCTTACATGAGGGCCACATTATATCAGGTTCCCTGTCAGAGTCTCTTTTACATCAGAGTTACCCCATGCATCACCAAGTGTAATGCAAAGTGTCAGATGCCGTGGTGTAAAGCACGCCACCACTGGTGGCGTTTGGTGGAGGCCAGGAGAACGGTACTTGCCTGACTGCATTGTGCCAAGTGTAAAGTTTGGTGGAGGGGGGATTAGGGTGTGGGGTTGCTTTTCAGGGGTTGGGCTTGGCCCCCTAGTTCCAGTGAAGGGAACTCTTAAGGTGACATTGTGGACAATTTCATGCTCCTAACTTTGTGGGAAGAGTTTGGGGATGGCCTCTTCCTGTTCCAACATGACTGCGCACCAGTGCACAAAGCAAGGTCCATAAAGACATGGAGGAGCCAGTTTGGGGTGGAGGAACTTGACTGTCCTGCACAGAGTCCTGACCTCAACCCCACAGAACACCTTTGGGATGAATTAGAGCGGAGACTGCGAGCCAGGCCTCCTCCCCCGACATCAGTGCCTGACCTGACAAATGTGCTTCTGGAAGAATGGTCCAACCTTCCCATAGACACCCTCCTAAACCTTGTGGACGGCCTTCCCAGAAGAGTTGAAGCTGTTATAGCTGCAAAGGGTGGGGCCAACTCAATATTGAACCCTACGGACTAAGACTGGGAGGCCTTTACAGGTCATGTGTGTGGAAAGGGCGGGGCCAACTCAATATTGAACCCTATGGACTAAGACTGGGAGGCCATTACAGGTCATGTGTGTGGAAAGGGCGGGACCAACTCAATATTGAACCCTACGCCATTACAGGTCATGTGTGTGGAAGGGGCGGGACCAACTCAATATTGAACCCTACGGACTAAGACTGGGGGGCCATTACAGGTCATGTGTGTGGAAAAGGCGGGGCCAACTCAATATTGAACCCTACGGACTAAGACTGGGAGGCCATTAAAGGTCATGTGTAAACAATATAAGTGCAGCGCTACAAACAATATTCAAATGACAAAAAATGTAAACGATTGTCAGATATAGGAATGTTGAAGATGATAAACAGTTCAGTGAAGGGGGAATCACAGGGCATATGGGTGTAATCCAATCCCAGGAATAGATAAATTGCCTGCTTACCAGAAGCGCAATTTAAATGCGCATGTACAGATTACATGTAGCCGGAATCCCATGTAGGCGCTGCTTTCTAGTACCCAGATGGTCCGTCGGTGGTGGGACGTGCTGGCCTGGTCGGAACACGCTGCACCTTGGATCCACACAGAGAGCCTAAAAATTGCTGGGGCTGAGGTATGGGAACTCAGTACCAGGTGCAAGGAGTAAAAATACTCATAGTGTAGTATGTTTTAAAATAATTTATTCAAAACGTAAAGCCATATAAATTTACAAAAACGCATGCCTGCAGCCTGTAGCCAGTAAATGCAGCTTCAAAAAAGATGATCCTAAACACTGACCAGTAAAAACCATGGGTGGGCCGCCGGACCTCCTGACCCGGCGGCGTAACGTCAAGGCGTGCAAAGGCTCCTCCTAGACGCGTTTCGTGTCAATACACGTCCACTGTAGGGGTGATGCCATTGGCGGCCCACCCATGGTGAGTATTTTTACTCCTTGCACCTGGTACTGAGTTCCCATACCTCAGCCCCAGCAATTTTTAGGCTCTCTGTGTGGATCCAAGGTGCAGCGTGTTCCGACCAGGCCAGCATCGTCCCACCACCGACGGACCATCTGGGTACTAGAAAGCAGCGCCTACATGGGATTCCGGCTACATGTAATCTGTACATGCGCATTTAAATTGCGCTTCTGGTAAGCAGGCAATTTATCTATTCCTGGGATTGGATTACACCCATATGCCCTGTGATTCCCCCTTCACTGAACTGTTTATCATCTTCAACATTCCTATATCTGACAATCGTTTACATTTTTTGTCATTTGAATATTGTTTGTAGCGCTGCACTTATATTGTTTATTTTGGTTGGAAGGGCTTGTAGTTCCTTTTTGTGCACTTGTCGCTCACTGGAGTGCGCTCACTTTTTTTTTTTTTCCATTTTTTTTCCATATTTTATAAAGGTCATGTGTGTGGAAAGGGCAGGGCCAACTCAATATTGAACCCTACGGACTAAGACTGGGGGGCCATTAAAGGTCATGTGCGTGGAAAGGGCGGGGCCAACTCAATATTGAACTCTACAGACTAAGACTGGGGGGCCATTAAAGGTCATGTGCGTGGAAAGGGCGGGGCCAACTCAATATTGAACCCTATGGACTGAGACTGGGAGGCCATTAAAAGGTCATGTGCGTGGAAAGGCAGGTGGCCCAATACTTTCGGCAATGTAGTGTGTGTGCGTATATATATATATATAAATAAATATAAAATACACACGAACACACACAGTATATGCATGCCTGAATTCCAGAGTGGTGGCTGCGAGGGCTTCTTCTGCACTGAACCTGTCAGCAATAGCTGTGACGCCACAGATGCTCTGTTAGTATTTGGACCCCCCTACCCCCCCTTATCTACGCCGTTCCAAATAAATATTTCAAAAAGCGATTTGGAAGTTTCAGGATAAGTACTGCTGTAGTTTTCAGGCAAAAAAAACTTAAAAAGTTTGAATAACTTGTAATTCTGGAAAGACACCACAACTTCCTTCTCGATGGTCCCCCTTTCCTTTTCCCACAGCTGAACGGGAGAAGTCCTAGCATGTATGGCCAGAAAGGGGCCCCTACCAGCAATCCTCCCCTCCCATCCTCCATTTCTACTTAGTGTCTGCATTGTGGTGCCGCAGGCCGCAACTCATGACTTCAAAGGGCGCCAAGCGTGAGGAGATTGCTTTCCTTTTGTCCAGAAGAGAGGCAGTCGGGAGGGCAGGCGCAGAGAGCGAGGGGCTTGGACGGGAACCAAGCTTCACTCCGCGCCTTTCATCTGCTCCTGTTTTCAAGTGATGACATTTTTGTTTTGCGGTTTTTCTTTTTTCCTTTTTTTTCTCAACATACAATTGGAGAGCAAAATGGGCATCCGCTTTTTTTTTTTTTTCCAAGGAGCGGAGAAGCGTCTGTGGCCGTGGAGGATGGAACTCGACTCCCGCCAAGATTACACGGCGCTGCAGTGCCCATGATTAGAATGAAACACATCCCGGAATCTGCAAGTGTAGATAACGCCAGAAGAAACGCACAATAAATTAGAATTTTACCCAGAAAAACAAGCCTCATAAAAAAAATACATAATGAGGACGCTGTAAACAGAACGACCGCGTAAAATAAAAAAAACGCGGCACCATGATAATTCAAAGTCACTTGGGTGGAAAGAGGCAAGAAATTCTGCAAAGTCCATGCAAATATATATAATTTTTTTGGTGTGTTACAGGGGTGGACTGACCATTTGGAAACTCGGGCACTGCCTGAGGGCCTGGGGTCAGTAGGGGGCCCCATGAGATGCCCCTGGTACCTTTTTCATAGGCTTTTTGGAGTTTGGCCAAGGACACAGGGGCCCCATGATCCCCTATTGCCCGGGGGCCCCATGAGTTGTCAGTCCGCCCCTGGTGTGTTATTGGTTTGGTGACAGGTGCACTTTAATGGCGGCGTGTAGGAAGAGTGACAACCCGATATTTTTTTCAATGCAGCATAAGAGGAACCATCCCAGAAAAACAAAAATCCCCCCATCCCCTCAGCCGGTCTGTTAAATGCTGTTTTATTGGAGATTTGGGGAGAGGCGAATGCGGATTTCTACGCTCCTCACCGCAAATTGTTTTCTATTGTTCTTTTTTTTTTCTTGTTATTTCCAGAAAAGCAGACCAACGCCGCCACAGATGCAAAATGAGGTCAAACTCTCCTAAATCTGAGGCCGCAAGAAATTCTGAGAGCCGGAAAAATATTCAGAGTTGGCTTTTCTTTCCTTTTTTTCTTTTTTTTTTTTTTAAAGGAAATCTGTACCGGAGATGCGGCCATTGCTGTGTTGTAGAATGTCCAATCAGGGGTGTCTAGGGTATACTTGTTCCAGGCTCCCCTTCAGTCTTGTACAGGTGTACCGGCTCCTCCCCCTCAGTCTAGCACAGGTGTACGGCTCCTCCCCTCCAGTCTTGCACAGGTGTACCGGCTCCTCCTCCTGTCTTGCACAGGTGTACCGGCTCCTCCCCTCCTGTCTTGCACAGGTGTACCAGCTCCTCCCTCCTGTCTTGCACAGGTGTACCGGCTCCTCCCTCCAGTCTTGCACAGGTGTAACGGCTCCTCCCTTCTAGTCTTGCACCGGTGTAAAACCGGTTCCTCCCTTCCAGTTTTGCACCGGTGTAACGGCTCCTCCCCTCCAGTCTTGCACAGGTGTACCGGCTCCTCCCCTTCAGTCCTGCACAGGTGTACCGGCTCCTCCCCTCCAGTCTTGCACAGGTGTACCAGCTCCTCCCCTCCAGTCTTGCACAGGTGTACCAGCTCCTCCCCTCCAGTCTTGCACAGGTGTACCAGCTCCTCCCCTCCAGTCTTGCACAGGTGTACCAGCTCCTCCCCTCCAGTCTTGCACAGGTGTACCAGCTCCTCCCCTCCAGTCTTGCACAGGTGTACCGGCTCCTCTCTTCCTCGGGTGTCACTGCACACTGATCTTCTCACAATGTTCATTAAAAGCTGCAGCCAGTCAGATAGAGCTCCGCCCCATTTCCTGGCTGTAGGACATCCAGCATCATCTAGCCATTTCCTTCCCAGCCTGACTGTCCCTGCCCTGCCTTTTCCATTCATTAGATGTGGACACTAATCTATGCAATCTGCCTAGAAATGCCCACTCCTCCAGACTGACACCCATTCATCAAGGCATTTTGACATTTACCAAACTCCTCCCAGGAGCCAGCCCACTGCTTACATCACTCTTGCAAAGAATACTGAGGCAGGGTGCTGTGATGTTTCCAGGAAACACCCTGCAGGCCCCTCCCACCAGCCACGTTCTGCCTAGTTTGCTTGGGGAAGCACCAGTGATGACATCACCAAATCCCAGACACCAACACTGTATCCACCTCCTCCCAAACAACACTGTACCCACTTAATCGAAGACTGCTAAATTTTATCCACTTTATCCCAGACACCAAAATTGTATCCACCTGATCCCAGATGCCAACATTGTATCCACCTGATCCCAGAAGCCAACATTGTATCCACCTGATCCCAGACCCCAACATTGTATCCACCTGATTCCACACAACAACATTGTATCCACCTGATTCCACACAACACTGTATCCACCTGATTCCACACAACACTGTATCCACCTGATTCCACACAACACTGTATCCACCTGATTCCACACAACACTGTATTCACCTGACCACACAACACTGTATCCACCTGATCCCAGACCCAACATGATTCCTGATCCCACAACAACTGTATCCACCTGATTCCACCTGATCCACCTGATTCCACACAACACTGCATCCACCTGATTCCACAACACTGCATCCACCTGATTCCACACAACACTGCATCCACCTGATTCCACACAACACTGTATCCACCTGATTCCACACAACACTGTATCCACCTGATTCCACACAACACTGTATCCACCTGATTCCACACAACAACATTGTATCCTCCTGATCTCAGACAACAACATTGTATCCACCTGATTCCACACAACAACATTGTATCCACCTGATTCCACACAACACTGCATCCACCTGATTCCACACAACACTGCATCCACCTGATTCCACACAACACTGATCCACATTCCACACAACACTGCATCCACCTGATTCCACACAACACTGTATCCACCTGATTCCACACAACACTGTATCCACCTGATTCCACACAACACTGTATCCACCTGATTCCACACAACAACACTGTATCCACCTGATCCCAGACACCAACATTGTATATTCCTGATCCCAGACAACAACATTGTATCCACCTGATTCCACACAACAACATTGTATCCACCTGATTCCACACAACACTGCATCCACCTGATTCCACACAACACTGCATCCACCTGATTCCACACAACACTGCATCCACCTGATTCCACACAACACTGTATCCACCTGATTCCACACAACACTGTATCCACCTGATTCCACACAACACTGTATCCACCTGATTCCACACAACACTGTATCCACACAACATTGTATCCACCTGATCCCAGACACCAACATTGTATATTCCTGATCCCAGACAACAACATTGTATCCACTTGATTCCACACAACACTGCATCCACCTGATCTCAGACAACAACATTGTATCCTCCTGATCCTAGTCATACCTCTCATATTAAACTAGTACTCTTGTACATGACCCCATCACCGTAAAACAATTGCACCCAAATTTACAGTCGTGAAGGAGAAAGGCGTCAAAATTTGACTACAATATCACACCAATATTCTCCGTCGGAGCGGATCAGATGGAGAGCGGCAGCTCCAGCTCCAATCAGGCAGAAATAGAAGAAATGTAATAACATTTCTGGGTGTAATAATTTTTTCCTTCATCAGTCGCCGAGCTCGCTTAAATATTTCATAACATGATCTTATTTTCTGCAGAGGTTTTCCTCATCTCTACTGTAAACTACAGACCCAGTCAATAATTACAGAGAAAGTTGGAGAACAAAAAATGTATTAAAGCTCAAATGGTTGAGAGCAATCCTTCATCTGAAGGACCTAATCTAGGACAATGGAACTTTTTGGTGTGGAGGAACTCGAATGTCCTGCATAGAGCCCTGACCTCAACCCTACGGAACAGCTTTGGGATGAATTAGAACATTGATTGTGAGCCAGGTCTTCTGTGTACTATACAAAGCCAGCTCCATAAAGACATGGCTTTACCAGTTTGGTGCTGAGGAACGTGAGTTCCTAAGAGCCCTAACCTCAACCCTACTGAACACCTTTGGGATGAATTGGAATGAAGATTGTGAGCCAGGTCTTCTCAACCAAAATCAGTACTGGACCTCACAAATGGGCATTCAGAAACCCTCCAAAATCGTATGCATCTTGAAAATCTTGAAGAACCTTTAGAGCGAGCTTCCAACCTTGTGGTCACAGTTTGGGGGAAGAACCTTTTCTTTTCTACCATAACTGTGCCCCTGTGTACAAAGCCAGATCCATAAAGACATGGTTTGACTAGTTTGGTGTGAAGAAACTCGAAGTTCCTGCACAGAGCCCCGACCTCAACCCTATGGAACAGCTTTGGGATGAATTAGAACATTGATTGTGAGCCAAGTCTTCTGTGTATTGTACAAAGCCAGCTCCGTAAAGACAAGGCTTTACCAGTTTGGTGCTGAGGAACTTGAGTTCCTAAGAGCCCTAACCTCAACCCTACCGAACACCTTTGGGATGAACTGGAATGAAGATTGTGAGCCAGGTCTTCTTATCCAAAGTCAGTACCAGACCTCACAAATGGGCTTTCAGAAATACTTCAATCTTACGTATTTTTAACATCCTTTAGAGCGAGCTTCCAACCTTGTGGTCACAGTTTGGGGAAGAACCTTTTCTTGTCTACCATAACTGTGCCCCTGTGTAAAGACATGGTTTGACCAGTTTGGTGTGTAGGAACTCGAAGTTCCTGCACAGAGCCCTGACCTCAACATTACTGAACACAATTGGGATGAATTGGAATGCCGACGGTGATCCTGGTCCTCTCATCCAACATCACCACCTGACCTCAAAAATGGGCACAAATGCACACAGACACCCTTCAAAATCTTACGTAAAGTCTTCTCATATGAGTGGAGGATGTTATAGCCACAAAGTGGGGTTATCTCCATGTTAATGGTCATGGTTTTGAAGTGGGATGTCCAACAAGCTAGTATAGGTATGATGGTCCAAAATCTAGTGAATAACTTTTTGAAGAGTGAGCTTCCAATCTTGTGGTCACAGTTTGGATTAGACCCTTTTCTCTTCCACCATGACTATGCCCCATGAACAAATCCATTTTTATAAAGACATGGCTTCACCAGTTTGGTGTTGAGGAATTCTACTGTCCTGCACAGATCCTTGATGTTACAGAACACCTTCGGGATGAACTGTAACGCCGATAGTGAGCCAGGTCTTCTCATTCGAAATCATTACCTGACCTCACAAAATGTTCTTTTAGCTGAGACACCAGTACTACAGAACACCTTTGGGATGAATTTGAACCCCGATGGTGAGCCAGGTCTTCTCATTCGAAATCAGTACCTGACCTCACAAAATGTTCTTTTAGCTGAAACACCAGTACTACAGAACACCTTTGGGATAAATTTGAACCCCGATGGTGAGCCAGGTCTTCTCATTCGAAATCAGTACCTGACCTCACAAAATGTTCTTTTAGCGGAGACACCATACTACAGGACATACTTTAGGATGAATTTGAACCCCGATGGTGAGCCAGGTCTTTTCATTCGAAATCAGTACCTGACCTCACAAAAATGTTCTTTTAGCTGAGACACCAGTACTACAGAACACCTTTGGGATGAATTTGGAAGAACCCCGATGGTGAGCCAGGTCTTCTCATTCGAAATCAGTACCTGACCTCACAAAATGTTCTTTTAGCGGAGACACCAGTACTACAGGACATCTTTAGGATGAATTTGAACCCCGATGGTGAGCCAGGTCTTTGGTCATTCGAAATCAGTACCTGATCTCACAAAAAGTTCTTTTAGCTGAGACACCATTGGGCCTTTGGAAGATTAATTTGGTACCCTAATGGTTAGAGTCAGGTCTTCTCATTCAGCATCAGACCCAACCTCATAAAATGTTCTTTGGATGAAAAACCAAGAATGGAAACCTTAAAGCCAGGCTTTGGAAGCAGACTTCTCCCATACCACATACGAGGGACCCTCTGGAATCCGGCTACAGCTGTGGTAAACAGAACTCCGACTGCTTTGGTTTTAAATTATTTTAGCCCAGTAAATAATCATGATGTCGACATTTAAGAAGATTAGATGGTAGTCATTGATTGGGTTAGAAGGTCCCTGCTCGATTGGGTTAGAGGGGCCCTTCGATTGGGTTAGACAGGGCCCTTCGATTGGGTTACAAGGTCCCTTCGATTGGGTTAGAGGGGCCATCGATTGGGTTTTCTGAGGGGCCCTTCGATTGGGTTAGAGGGGACCCCTTCGATTGGGTTAGAGGGGCCCTTCGATTGGGTTAGAGGGGCCCTTCGATTGGGTTAGAGAACCCTTTGATTGGGTTAGAGGGGCCCTCGATTGGGTTAGAGGGGCCCTTCGATTGGGTTAGAGGGGCCCTTCGATTGGGTTAGAAGGTCCCTCGATTGGGTTAGAAGGTCCCTCGATTGGGTTAGAAGGTCCCTCGATTGGGTTAGAAGGTCCCTCGATTGCCTCATTTTCTTTAAGGAGGTCTAGGGAAAGCTGAGTACATGCTGGATCCCTTCTCTAGACCAGCAATGACTGACCTCAGCTCCATGACCTTCAGATATTTTGTATTCTCGGACTAGTCCACGGAGGAGCCTCAATCCGGTACCGAGGTGCTTACGCGGGGAAGACACCGGAGGATCCTGTTGGCTTTGCAACAGTCTCGACTCATCGGAAGTCTTGGCTTTAATTCCAGACAGGTATCTGCCCGAGGGGATCTCATTACCATATTTATTAAATATCTGTTACAGGGACACACATTGTGCCAGTGCTGGAGCCCCGGGGCAGAGCGCGCGCGTGCCCAGATAGCAATCAGGAGAGTCCTTCGGGAGGAGCAGAGACACCCGGTCCATGTCAACTAAACCAGAATTCGATCTGGTAATCAAATATTCTTTTAATGCT